CGGCACTATAGAGATGGCAATATTTTCGCAGTGAAATAGAATCAGTCACTATTGTTGTGCTTTATTTGATGGATATGTTTTTCGAATTTAATGCCCAACCCAACTTAGCTCGACAAGAGAGGTAGGGATGTGAGTGCTAGTTGGAAACTAACGTAACATAAGCAATACCTCATCAATGCAGCTTCATCTATAACTTTTTCCAGGCGTGACCGCTACTTTCTGAAATATCACATTTTATATATATCATGATGATATAATATATATAAAATTTTCGGGTCATTCGGGTCCAGTTTTCAAAATTTCGGGTCGGGTCCAAAAGCCTTCGAATCGGGTCGGGTTCGGGTAAAAAATGTTCGGGTCGCGTCGGGTTCGGGTCATCCACGTCAGACCCGATCGGTCTCTGGTTTCAATATGATGAGAGTGACACTGTAATGTAGTTTGTTCATTTTGAGTGTAAGAAAAATCACTAGAGCAGGTAAGAAGAAACTCAATCATGCAGTCTTGATGGAGGTTTTTCACGGATCTTTTGGAAAAAAATTCAAGATTTTATCATTTATCTAAGCCAAGATATGTGCGAAATAAAAAATGTTACAATATTATGGACACCATGTAGTAAAAAAAATGTCACATTTTTTCTAATACACTTTTTTAACCTTCAAACTACATTTGTTGTTCAACGTAAATATAGTGAAAGATGCAGCGCGTTCTGGGCTTTCTTCCTATATATGGGAAGTTAATAAATAAAAGAATTCTAGTGATGAAAACAAAAGAAAACAAAAGGGGGAAAACCAATTGAGGTGCACTGTATATCCCGATTGGGGTATCTTTTGATTAAAAACAGGATGCATCTCCCGATTGGGATACAGAACATGAGACTGCACTGCAAAACAAAAGTATGTTAGATTAAACAAGCAACCAAAATAGAATCCTTTCAAAGTATCTTGATGCAAACGGTTGAACAGGTAAAGCAGGTATCAATCGAGAACACCATACTAGATAACCAAACGACTTCTATTGGCCTTCAGATTGTTTCGTATCAGCCATTCTTTGTTGTGCCATTATTAACTTTGAATATGTTCCGTCTTTTTGGATGAGATCGTCATGCGTACCCTATAATGAAACAATAATGTTCGAATAAAAGAGGGAAACGAAAAAGCTTTGTAAGCTCAGAGAGTGTACAAACCTCTTCGCTAACTCTACCATGAACAACAACGGCAATTTTTTCACTATTTCGAATCGTGCTCAAACGATGGGCGATCGATAAACATGTTCTTCCTGTTTGAGCTTGTTCAAGCGCTTGTTGAACAATCTATAAAATATAATAGGAATAGAGATGAAACTCGAACAAAGGCCGAAGGCTTTTTAACACCCACTTTTTCGCTTTTATTGTCCAGCGCAGCAGTAGCCTCATCCATCAGAAGAATTTTTGGATTTCTCACAAGAGCTCTTGCGATTGCAACTAAACATATAGGACACTACATACAACGAATGTGTCTCACTGCGAGTATTTTCTTACTTCTTTGCTTCTGGCCTCCACTCATTTGGTTTCCTCGTGCTCCACAGATAGTGTCATAGCCCTAAAATATCCGCAAAAATAACATGACTGATAATAGTTCAGAATCTGTCATAAACTTACTTGTGGTAAAGATTTGATGAAATCATAAATATTTGACATTTTGGCAGCTGCTTCAATTTCTTCTTGAGTCACTGCTTTCTGACAGCTTCCATAAGCAATATTTTCTCGAATTGAAAAATTAAACAAAACTGGTTCTTGTTGAACTAAACCGATTATTGAGCGAAACCAACGAAGATTCAGGCTTTTGATATCATGACCATCTAACATGATAGAGCCGCTGGTTGAATCATAAAACCTCTCAATAAGAGCTACACATGTACTCTTTCCATTCCCAGACGGGCCAACAAGTGCTGTAGTGCCATTCATCGCACAACCAAGTGAAAAGTGCTTTAAAATTCGAAGTTTCGGTCTTGCTGGATAACGAAATTCAACGTCTTTGAATTCAAGATTTCCATGCACTTTTGCCTAAAAAGTTAGATATCGTTCAGTAGAATTATTATAGACTATAGGAGTAAGTGTCATGAAATCCGGATAATTAAAATCCTTTTTTTAACTCATCCGAAAACTATTCATCCAGAATCCAACATGTCCGGATGAATCATTTCCCGGACATATTGGAATCCGGATGAATTTCCCTCGATAAAGTCCGATAGTTTCTTAAAAAACCTCTCAAGTCCGGGAAAAAATGCTGCATGAGTTTGTCACTTGTAATAAAAAGCAATGCAAGCGCGTATGTCATAGAGTATAATAGTAGTACTAGTAGTTTCATTATTTACGTACATTTGGAGTTGTTTTCGTTCATTCGGCATTTCCGCACACACTAGAGTATGATTCTGTGATGTCGGTCGACTCCTATGGTTACTTAAAGCTAGAATTTAGTGCAACTTCGGTTGCATTACAATAAAATTTAACGGTGTTGTGTTTGTGTCCTATTGTGGACTTACCCCATTAAGTCACACTCGACTTACTTGATATATGATCTAAGACTAATATACACAGATTAACAATCGGACTTGCATTGCTTTTTATTGCAAGTGAAAAACTCATACAGAATATTTTTTACCGGAGTTGATCGAGAGAAATCCATCCGGAAATTTTACGGACTTTTAAATCCAGATGGAATTACATAAGTAGATAAGTAGATTTGCACGGGGCGAGTAGGATTTCCGGATGAAAAGACATCCCGGACTTAAAAAATCCGGGTTTGATGACACTCCATGGACTATAGTAAAGAATGACTTACTAGTGTAATTCCATTATCATCATTTGGATCAATCGCTGACTCTCGTTTATTCAATTCCATTATTCTTAGAGCTGCAGCTTTACCCTTGGAATAGTCTGGAGCCATTCCAATGCTTCGTGCAACCGACTGAGCAGCATAGAGTACAACAAGAAATATGCTAAAACATTATTTCTACAGTTTTATGTACTTTGCGTATATGTCCGATGTACTTGCCGAAATACAGAGTAAAATTCCATTTCACCGTTTTGAATAAGCTTGCTTCCATATCCAAAACAAGCTGCATGCATAAAGTACGTTGTAGAATTAGCAAATGCTATTCCTATTGCTTGTATATGAAGTGTATAGATGCGTTTTCTAAAAACTCGCATCAATATACATGAGAACTATTTAGTAAACTGTTATACTTGAGAACCGTCTTAAAAGTACTATCTATTTTTCCCTGTTTAAAACTAATGTCTGGTGATCAAGAGCTATGAGTTAAAACGGCAGCTCAGAAAGAGGAGAAGAAGATTTATTCTTCTGCAAAGTAGGGGAAAAGCTGTTGTTCTATCTTTAAACCATAGCTTTTCGAGCTTATTAAAATTAACTAACCGAAATTCTTGATCAACAGCATTTTGATATTTGGTGATAAAATATTCTTCCTGATTTAGGGCTACAACTGTTCGTATGTTTTCTAAAGCTTGTACGGCATACTAAAACAACGCACAATAAAGAAGCACACTTGATTTGAAAGGTTCCTCCACATACTATGGCTTATCCAAGAGAGAAAAATGAGAGTGTATGTTTTCGGACACAATCAATGCAGGATGCTTCCACGCGGCTCCTCCAGTGTATGCATCGACTAAAAGTCGGCAGTATTTGACTACGTTCAGTTTATAGGGCACGTCAAGTTATGTTGGATCGATATTTCTGTGCACTAAAAGTTGCACTAAAATTAAGTTACTAATATAGACTTAGTTATGCTCAAAATGAAGCTTATTTTATGATCCATTGAATGACGCAAGAATCAAGTCTTCATCTTGCCTGGTCATAGCTTAGGGAAGCTGGAAGGTAAGCAATGCTTTAAAAGCCCAATTTTTTGCCACGGTTTTCTCCAAAATTCTCCGTCAGAATCTTTCGATTGCAATCGCGAATTTTAGTCGATGCATAGTGGAGTGCTGTGTGGAAGCACTTAGCAGATAAATACAATAAAATCTTGGTTATATGACAGCTACGACGAACAAAAAAGTTTACCGATCCAGCTTTCTCTGCAAAAGATCCATCGAATGTCCCACCAACTCTCCGTTGCTTCCGACTTTGGAGTGCTCCAGCACACACCATGATGGGAGTAAAACACAGCATAACTAGTGTTAGCTTATATCCAGCGATGAAACTAATAATTATAGCAGCAATAGTAGCTCCAGCTGCTTCTAACATACTGCCAATTCTGACCCCAGTTAAACCCTAGAAAATGGTAGTGGCGGATGTAATATGATCACAATTAACTAACAAATGTTGTTTTAACATGCCTTCAATGCACTTGCATCAGATTGCAATCGCGTGACTAATGCACCTACACTATTTACATCGATGTCAAACCATCCAATTTCTTGGCGAAGTATAGCTGAAAATGTTAGTTTTCTCATTCTCATGGTCAATGCTTCACCACTCTTTGCGAACATTATACTGCTTACAAACATACAAACCGCTCCAATAAAACCAGTGAAAAAAATCAAAACTGTATAAATGCGCGCATCATGCACTTGTCTATGTAAATTCGGTTCAGTGAATAATTTAATAATTTGTGAAAATATTAAAGCGAAAGCGGGTAGGATTGCTCCGTATATCAATGACACCGTGGCACCAATCACGATATAGTACCATTCAGTAGCATTAAACTTGAGAATTTTCAATAGAAATGGCTTATGAGAGAATGTGCTCTTTTTTCCTGTGTCATCGAACCATTCATTATCATTGTCTTCAGCATGAGTGCCTAATGAAACAATTGATTTTTGCTGCCGAGGATGAACTTAAAAAAAGAAAAGAAACATGAATTAAAAATACATACCATCTACAGTACATCGCGAAGAGTTTGCGTCTGCGACAAAATCCAAATTTTCATAATCTGACAATTGCTGAAAATTACAACACTAATACTAATACACTAATACGACATTTCCAAGCGTCAAAAAAAAATCTAGTATCGCTCGATTCATCTAGATTACTAGATTTTTACTCGACTGCAACTACTGTGGAACGACAGTGGAAATCTAGTAATTGGGCGATTACTAGATTTTTTCTAGTTGCAACTATCGATTTATCGTCCGATAATCGATCGATTTAACTATTACTAGATACACCTGCAGCCGCATCTAGTTAAAAGTCCCTTTTCCAACTAGTAATCTATATGGCAACTAGTCGTGTATCGCCCAGTTATAGACGAAATGTATCTAGATTTTTCCCATAGGTGGCATTTGCTTGGGTTATAACGTACGGTGTGGATAACAGCTACAAATTGCATTCAAAATAACATTCAAGGATTCTACGACTTAAGGAACTTTCGTGCAATCAATTAGGGATAGGGGTAGCACTTTCTCGTTATTTTCCCAAATAAAGAAAACTAAAAACTGACTTTTCTTTCTTTTGGAAAAGGAAAGCTTTTACTTTTCTACTTTTCTACTGTTCTTTTCCAAAAAGAAAGAAAAGGAAAGTATGATATAACTTTCTTTTGTGTTTTTCTTTATGAAGAAAGCACTTTGAAGCAAAATCAAGCTCATGTTTATGATTAGCAATGATAGAACATCGAAAAAGAAAATCGATGTATCACCCATAATTTTCTGAGATATTCTTATATGGACTTTCTGGAAAACTCCAGTTTTCATCAGTTCAGTCACATTACGACCCCTCGAAAAAATCGTCTGATCGAGCTCAAATTTTTATCACAGATACTCCAGACCCTATCTCAGGTTCTAAATTTTTTTTCCGAAGAATATGCTTTCCTTCTCCAGATATACGAAAAATGCTGAAAGTCAGTGAAAAAGAGTGAAAAAATCTTACTTTTTTTGCGTGATTTTCGGCATTTTTCGTATATCTGGAGAAGGAAAGCATATTCTTCGGAAAAAAATTTAGAACCTGAGATAGGGTCTGAAGTATCTGTGACAAAAATTGAGTTCGATCAGACCGTTTTTTCGAGGGGTCGTAACGTGACTGGATGAAAACTGGAGTTTTCCAGAAAAGTCATATAAGACCATCTCACAAAAATTATGGGTAAAAATACATCGATTTTCTTTTTCGATGTTCTATCTCTGCTATCAATTTGAGCTCAATCGGACGTGTGCGCCGCATTTGGCAACAAGGTAAAAAAAAGAGGAGGGGTGCCCTTAATATTTATATAGGGTAGAAAAATACTCTTTATCCAATAAAAGAATTTTGAAGCTTGAGTTGCGACAAACGCAAATTCTCTCTAATGTCAATAAAGACATCAGATATAGATATGTTACCAGATGCTCGTCGAATCATTCGTTCTTCTTCTTCAGGATCTTTTTCGCTGTCATTATCTTCATCTTTTTTGTCAATTTCACTTTGTTGTTGTGCTGTTACAAGTTCATAATAAAGTCCTTTTTTTTGCATTAATTCGTTATGTGTGCCATACTCTTTAACACGTCCATTTGTCACAGTTATAATAAGATCAACATTTCGTATCGTCGATAAGCGATGCGCTACAATAATTGTTGTTCGGCCTAGTTTAGCTTTCTCAAGCGCATTTTGTACGATTCTTTCACTGGTATTATCTATTTAAATAAAAAAAAAAGTTTTCCTTGAAAAACATATAGGAAATCTTATACAAACCAAGAGCTGAGGTGGCTTCATCAAGGAGAAGGATTTTTGGATTTGATATCAACGCCCGGGCAATTGCCACTGTGAAAAGTTAATCACATCAAGTAACGGAAAATTATATTTATATTTAAATTCAAATCTCTACCTCGCTGTTTTTGTCCACCTGATAGCTTGTCACTGGATGTTGTCTTGTAATTCTAAACAAAGGTAAGGAACTACAACAATTAATAGAGGTCAACCGGCTAAAAATTCTGTTCATACTTCAGGTAACTCCATTATAAAGTCATGAGCATTGGCCATTTTTGCTGCTGCAATGACTTCATTATCCGAAGCATCCATCTTTCCAAACCTAATGTTTTCTTCAATTGATCCAGTAAACAGAACAGGTTCTTGTGAAACGGTGCCGACATGTGCCCGCAGCCAAGCAACATTCAGTGTACGAATGTCACGACCGTCAAGCAAAATCTTACCCTGCTGGGGATCATAGAACCTTTGAAGTAGTTGAATTATTGTACTTTCTAAATAAGCATGTAAGTAAATATTCAAACTAAAGATGAACAAAAGAAATAAAGTTACTTCCACACCCTGATGCGCCAACAAGAGCAACCGTTTTCTGTGATGGAATCTTTATGCTGATGTCGTTTAAAATCTAAATAGATAGCTGTTCTTCTTAGCTGGGAGAAAGAAGTTAGGAACAACACATACAGCCTCCTTTCTTGCAGGAAATGTGAATTGAACATTTTGAAATTCAATATCTCCTTCGATAATTTCTGGCTTTTGACCGATTTGGGTAAAAGCATCGATTTTTGATTCCTTAAAGATCAAGTATATATAATGCATTACAAAATATGTGTGTGCAACGTTTTCAGAGATACCCTTTCGATGATTTCGAAGACATAACTGGCACTCCCTGCTGCTTCAGCAAAATTTTGTATACTGGGTATTAGCTGAGCTATGCACGTTGTGGATTGACTGCAAGCCACAAAAACCTTTGGATGAAAAGTGAACTAGTTAATTATTTGAGGTGTGTGTCCTTATTTCAAGCACGTATGACGTTTCCGATGTTGGCGATATCTTTAGACAACTTAAGAGTCACTGTGCGAGTGAAACGGCGAAAGTCGCTCAATCGATGTTTGAGTTTTTGGCTCAGGCATTTACCGTGGGTAGAAGCAACATATATAGGAAGATTCCCAACTTTTTTCATTCAGACTTACTTCGTTAAAAACAGGGCTTCATCTCTTAAGGCAAGAGATTTGATGCCTTTTTGAGCGGAGGGACACGTTTTTGAGTTCCTTTGGAAACGAATTTTTTACCATCGGCTTCGTAATATGCGACGCGTTCAAAACCACGTTTTCATACGCATTTCGTAATGCGAATTTACAAAAAAAAGCTGCGTAATTTGAAAACAACAATAGTTCCTTTATTTTCTTCCAATATATTTATCTTGCCCTCCCACTGTTCACTATATATGCGCACGTATAACAATACTCAGTCTGTTCTATTATTCTTACAGCCTAGTTTATAATACCCCAATTCTGTATTTTAATTGCCTAACGTGATACGCACTTGAAAGATCGAAAGAATGTTTACATCAACTAATAAATTTCAAAACGAGCATAATGAACTAATCTCTCTTCCAATCAACGGAACTATAATAAAAATGTATACGTACGAGAACTACTGCACCAGCTGTTATGCAATCACTCGAACCCAAATTAATACCTATAATCAAAGCATGAGTGACATAGTAATGACTTTCTTGCACATTAAACTTACCATACCAAAAGGTAATAGCAAAAGCAGTGTAACTTATAACATGAGAAACTGCCTGACATAATCCGATATATAAACCTTTCTTTATACCAATCCGTTTCACGTTCAATAAACTATAACTATATCTAAAATTCAGCAATGAGTTTTATAGTTTAGAGATTATCGACTTTCAGTCAGACCGTTCTTCTTCTTTTTGTTGTCCATGAAACGCTGTCACAGTTCTTATATTCTGAAGAGTTTCTTGGACGACTGCATTGCCACTAGAGTAAGCTTGAATTTCTCTTTTTGTATATTCTATAATGATCTATTCAATACAAAACAGATATGCGAGCGGTTCACAATAAGTTGTATGATATCAGAAAAAGTTTTTTTAATTTACACACTTTAATTGTTACATTGAATGCTATCACAATTAGAGGTGAGATACTCATAAATACCAACGCCAGTTTATATGCTTTTATAAGAGCTAATACTAGACAACCAACCACTTTAGCAATTAAGGTTATAAACTCTGGAACTTTCTCACTAAAGGAAAATAAGATACTAAAAGGCATCAGTTATTTATTATATATGTTCATATGTTATTAAACTCGACTTTCCTTGAACTAAAAAATTTGTTTGACAATCACTTTTTAGTTACAGAATAGCTCAAGCCTTGAAAACTTGGAATGGCCCTACTACCGCTATTGTAGATCGAATCACCATATTATTCTGATGACGTTGACGTATATATTCTTTTAAATGTGTTGCGAGAAAAGTTACAGAAACATACACAGTGGGCATTTTTTGCTAGAGCAGGCGGACTTTAGCTTTATGAGTGAACTAAAATTTCATGAACCATTTTTTTATAGGTTTTTCATGATCCTCTTTCTAATGGCATGAGAGTTGGGCTTTGA